GAAGACACTGCCTTCCCGTCTAGAAGCAGCAGCTTAGAGAGAATCAAGGGTGTCGGTTCTGAAGGTTTTCAGGAGCGCATTTCCACGTTCGCCCACACGGAAGGCTACTCAGAGCGCTTCCCTGTGGCTCCTATCGCCGGGCACCACACCCTCTTTGCCCAGCACCACACCAACGTCTCTTCTCAAAGTCCAGGAACCAGACAGTGGAAACCGGCCTTCCATGGCTGCCGTGGGCTCAGTCGAGCTCCTGACAGAGGCCCTCAATTATTGCAAACAAGTAAACTAAATACATATCAGTAAGATGGAAATGTTGGGTGAACTTTTGAACAACAATTAGCTGTTCTGGTGTATGTACTGAACTTCGAAACCTTTGGTTCCTTGAAACCTTCGAGTTTTGTTAAATTCAGTCAAATGATAGAAATTTATTGAATCTCTAGATCATTTCCAAATAAGATAATATATTAGACAGTAATTCTTAGATAGAGGTTTAGCTACTTTGGGCTTATTTGGACACAGAAACCAAAAGAGGTTTGGGTCTGTTGGGAAACATGTCTTGCATTTTTATCTGAAGATTGTACCATGAAGCAGTATGTTTCTGGAAATTATAAATATATTTATAAATTTGCAAAGCCACAGAATGGCAGTGGAAAGGACCGTTTATAATTGCTTCCTTCTTGGTTTTTACTGAAAACAAGGTCTGTAAAGGCTGAGACTTCGAAGGAAGAGATGAGATTAAAGCTACTCAAAATCAAGAAGCAAGACATCTTTGTGCTCTAAGGAAAGTAAGGTGTATGCTTCAGTCGAGAAGACTTAAGGAATGGAAATATTTTTCTTGGTTTTGGTAAGAAAGATAAATGGGTCCTAAAAAAGGAAAGAAGCCCTAGGACAAATTTTTCATGTCAAAAGGAGCTTCTAGAGTGATGGGGGAAGAAACTCAAAGAAAACAGTTTTGTGCATGATCCAAATGGCTGATGTTGAAAAGTAGTTGAACCAAGTCAATGAGCTTTCCTATCAAAGGGAAGCTGTTGCTAAATTAGATTTTGGTTTTTGCCCTCTCTTAAAAGGATCATTTTCTTAAACTTTTCTTCTTTTCTGGGGAAAGAGATTAGGAAAGATTTTGATGTCTTATCAAAATAAATTTCCAGTATTGTTTTGATGAGGTCTTGAATCACACCAAGTGGCTAAGATGTTTCACACACCCGTTTGATTTTCTGCACTTGCCTGAAAAACTTTCATGGTCACCGTGTTTCAATGCATAGCTAAGCATGGTTTCCTAGGGATCTAGGCTATGCTGTGGGTAAATGTTTCTAGAAGGGTTTTAAAAATTAGATAACATTCCTAAAATGCTGATTTATCCTGGTTAGCACTCATCACTCTAATTGTTATCTCAAAGTGTTCTGGGTCACAAAAATAACCAAATTTCTTTGTCCATTGCCATTTTGAAATCCTTTGTCATTTACAGACTGTTTGGTTTGACTCTGTTCTGCAAGTCTCTTTCGTCTTCAGAGAGGGTCACAGAAAGGACTTTGAAATTGACTCTAGAAGACAGGCTTCTGACCAACTTTCAGATCATAAAGTTGAGCTGGTTGAGAAAGTGCAGAACTCTAATGCAGAGACTGAAGACTTCAGGAAACCGCAAAAGAAGCTCAAGCTCCGGCAAGATGTGATCACGTGGGACTGAAGGCACTCTGCTCTCTCAAATCTGGAGAAGTCGGGCTCCTAGCCATAAATCGAATATACGAGCGGCTTAAATTTCCTACTTGGCCTTGCCCACAAGATGCTCTGCTGTGTGAGTCAGCCAGAAACCGAGCAGGGAGGGGGCAGGTGTGGGGGAACCTGCCGGCCAGAGCACAGAGGCCAGAAGCCTGACAGCTTCTGTTGATGTTGCAGCTGAGGGGAGGGGTGCTGAGCACAAGCCCACCCACCGACCCCACGCCCACCTGGGACCTCAACAAAAGCCCCACTCTCAGAGCCTCCAGCGTCCTCGCCGGGACTGAAGCAAACCGCCACACTCACTGTGCTCTCCGACAACGCCATGATTGCCTTCCTAAAACACAGAGCCACCGAATTCATGGTGGACCTTGTGGCTACCTTCCTCGTGCAGAAGGGGAAAACGTATCTCACAGAGGCATTGATCGACATGTGGTCGATATGGTTGTTCGAACAGATGGCTACGTTTCTGCTGAAGATGATTCTGATGTTGGCTCTGGGCCGCATGGCTCTGGTGGTGCACCACCTGACTCTCGCTCGAACTTTGCACCGCCAATGTGCCCTGGGTTCTGCCAACGAAGAAGGCAGCCCCGAAAGCATCACTTGTCATGGTGGTCCCCTGAATCGGGAGCAAGCCAGCAGGCAAGATGTCTCCCTCTCTGGGAGAGAATGATCGCTTTCCTGGCCTCGATTCAGCCAGTGGCTGGAAGGGTCTGTCCCCAGTTCTTCCATTACAGCGGCACCACTTGTTTCCAAATGATAATCAATGAAGGCAGAAAAGCAAATCGATCGCGGCTTAAGAAGGCTTCTCCACTGAGATCACGGGCTCCGCAGGGTCTCGGCCGTGGGCACAGCGCCTCATCCTGCCCTCCGAGCTGGGCGCGTGCACGAGCCCTCCGGCCCTGGACATGGAGCCAGACCATCCGCGGCTCAGCTCTCAGCCCCGTGAACAATCACAGCCAAATCACAAAGGGAACCCAAAACTCAAAAACCAAAAGAAAAGAGACATCCATCGCCGGCCAGCCTTAGCCCCATTCCGGGCAGAGATGCCACTGAGGCTCCGGCCCCGCAGGGAGTCAGGGCATCGCCCCATTGGGCTGCCGGCTGCCGACAGGCGGCAAGATTTGCCCAGCACCGTCTCCGAGCCAAAGAGCGGCACGCGCGGCCCTGGGCTCCGGCCCCCATCTCCCCAACCCCACCTCCAGCCCGCACTCCACTCACCAGCCCTGGGAAGCTCTGCCGCCTGGGCTTTGCCCAGGCCCCGCCTCCGCACACACTGCCCTCCGGGCCCGACACACCGGCTTCTCAGGGCCCTCGACGCCAGCCCCAGCTGCATCTCCACTCCAGCCAAGCCTTGGCACTGCCGGCCTCTGCCAGCCCGCCGCCTGCCAGCCACCCTGGGGCCCCTCTCACACAGCCACTTCCCCCCTCCCTGGCTAGGGGCAACTTCCTGCTTCACTCACGTCCTGGCTCCTCTCTCAACTCTCCAAACCTCAGCTTCTTGGCTTGGCTTTCAGCACACACCCTAGCGCTCTGGGCCCGCGGCTCAAACTCACGAAGACACTGGCTTCCCCGCTAGAAGCAGCAGCTTGGAGAGAAGCAAGGGTTTCGGCTCTCAAGGTTTTCAAGGGCGCATTTCCATGTTCGCCCGCATGGAAGGCTACTCGGAGCGCTTCCCTGTGGCTCCTGACGCCGGGCACCACACCATCTTTGCCCAGCTGACGCCGGGCACCACACCATCTTTGCCCAGCACCACACCAATGTCTCTTCTCAAGGTCCTGGAACCACACAGTGGAAACCGGCTTTCCAGGGCTGCCGTGGGCTCAATCGAGCTCCTGGCAGAAGCCCTCAATTATTGCAAACAAGTCAACGAAATAGATATCAGTAAGAGGAAAGGGCTGGGTGAACTTTTGAACAACAATTAGGTGTTCTGGTGTATGGACCGAACTTCACAACCTTTGGTTACTTGACACCTTCAAGTTTTATTAAGTTCAGCTGAATGATAGAAATTTATGGAGTCTCTAGATCATTTCCAAATAAGATAAAATATTAGACAGTAGTTATTAGACAGAGGTTTATCTACTTCAGGCTTATTTTGACAGAGAAACCAAAAGATCTTTGGGTCTATTAGTAAAGATGCCTTACGTTTTTATCATAAGAGTGTCCTAGGAAGTAGTATGATTCTGGAAATTATAAATATATTTATAAATTTGTAAAGCCACAGAATGCTAATGGAAAGGACAGTTTATAATTGCTTCCTTCTTAGATTCTACTGAAAACAAGGTCTGTAAAGGCTGAGACTTCTAAGGAAGAGATGTGATTAAAGCTACTCAAAATTGAGAAGGAAGACATCTTTGTGCGCTAAGGAAAGCAGGATGAATGTTCTCAGGCAAGAAAATTTAAAGAATGGAAATGTCTTTGTTGGTTTTGGTAAGAAAGATAAATGGGTCCTAAAAAAGGAAAGCAGCCCTAGGACAAATTCTTAATGTAAAAAGAAGGTTCTAGAATGTATGAGGGAAAAAAACTCAAAGAAAAGAGTTTTGTGCGTGATCAAATTGGCTACTATGGAAACGAACTGAACGAAGTCAATGAACTTTCATATCGAAGGGAAGCTGTTGCCAAATTAGATTTTGGTTTTTGCCCTCTCTTAAAAGGATCATTTGCTTAAAGTTTTCTTCTTTTCTGGGGAAAGAGATTAGGAAAGATTTTGATGCCTTATCAAAATAAATTTCCAGTATTGTTTTGATACACGAATTGAATCACACCAAGTGGCTAAGATGTTTCACTCACCCGTTTGATTTTCTACACTTGCCTGAAAAACTTTCATGGTCACCGTGTTTCCATGCATAGCTAAGCATGGTTTCCTAGGGATCTAGGCTATGCTGTGGGTAAATGTTTCTATAAGGGTTTTAAAAATCAGATAGCATTCCTAAAATGCTGATTTATCCTGGTTAGCACTCATCACTCTAATTGTTATCTGGATGTGTTCTAGGTCATAAAAATAACCAAATTTCTTTGTCCATTGCCATTTTGAAATCCTTGTCATTTACAGACAGTTTGGTTTGACTCTGTTTCTGCAAGTCTCTTTCATCTTCAGAGAGGGTCACGGAAAGGACTTTGAAACTGACTCTAGCAGACAGGCTCCTGACCAACTTTCAGATGAGAAAGTTGAACTGGTTGAGAAAGTGCAGAACTCTAATGCAGAGACTGAGGACTTCAGGAAAGTGCAAAAGAAGCTCAAGCTCAAGCAAGATGTGATCACGTGGGACTGAAGGAAGTCTGCTCCCTCAAATCTGCAGAAGTCGTGCTCCTAGCAGTAAATCGTACACAGGAACGATTTAAATTTCCTGCTGGGCCTTGCCCCCAAGTCGCTGTGCTGTGTGAGTCGGCCCGAAACCGAGCGGGGAGGGGCCTGGGGATGGGGCGGAGCATGCCGGCCAGAGCCCATAGGCCAGGAGCCTGACAGTTTCTGTTGACGTTGCAGCTGAGGGGAGGGGTGCTGAACATGAGCCCGCCTGCCTGCCGGCCCGCCGGCCCCATCACGTCGTCGGCCTTGGGTCGACTGTGAAAATAAACGCAGTCTTTTCCAAAGGAGTGGAGACCTTCCTGCGAGGTTCTGGGTTGGTGGCCCTCAGAGCAGAGCTCAAGCTCGGTGGCCGGCACCACGAGCACTGGGGGGGGCTTCTCAAGGTGCACAACACCCTGCTGATGGGGCGAGAGATCTGCAACGGGGACAGAGGTGCCGAGGGTCGGCAGCCTGGACCGGGTCCCCTCAGACGGGGGTGGGGCGCTCCCAAGGCTGAAATGCTGACGCGAAGGGTCCCAAGAGGACCGTGAGAACCTCCCGTCTGCACAGGGCAAAGGCTCGGTCGGTGCTGCTGGGCCCACGACGGGGCAGAGGGTGGGTAGCCGCATTTCCCGCTTGCAGGGGAGCCATCCAAAACAGGACCAGGCCCGAGTCAGCAGCCTCAATGGTGGGACAGAGGAGGGGCGAGAAGAAATCGGCTTCAGAGAATCCCTCCGGAGAAACCCACTTTGGGGGAGGTGGGGGCCGGTAGTCGTGAGGAAGCTGCGGGAGTGAGCAGAAGGCCCTGGATCAGGAAAGGGCGACCTGCGCGCGCGCGGGGCCGGAGAGCGCCGGCTCGCCAACCCACTCACCCCGTGTGTGGAACTCGGGGGCTCCTGGGGGCTCATCTGGCAAGGGGCAGCCTCCGAGGGGCTTCTCCTGGAACCTCCCTCCTGGGCCCAAACCCAGGAGGTTGATGGCCAGCTCTGCGGCAACAGTGCCAAGCCTACCCAGTGTCTTCTCCAACGAGACTCTCCTCAGGAGATCCTTTGGCTCCCTTGGGCCCACACCTGCTGTCAGGAGGTCTCCGAAACCCTGTGGGCACCTGCTCAGGCAGCTGGAAGAGCAGTATGCTCAAGGCTCCCGGAGGCCAGGAGACTCTCCGTCCCTCGGGCCACATCTCCACCCCTGCCTCTCAGGCCCCCTCTCGGGATCCCAGGTGCTTTCACAGCTGACCGCCCTCTAGTGGAAAGAATGCGGACTCCACGGGCTGCGGCTGGACGCTTGCCACGGCACAGGCTTGCATGGAGGCTCTGTTCTAGGGAAGGGAAGGAAAGAAAAGTGGGGGCCAAACGCTGTCAAGAGGCAAGATGTCTCCCTCTCTGGGAGAGAATGATCGCTTTCCTGGCCTCGATTCAGCCAGTGGCTGGAAGGGTCTGTCCCCAGTTCTTCCATTACAGCGGCACCACTTGTTTCCAAATGATAATCAATGAAGGCAGAAAAGCAAATCGATCGCGGCTTAAGAAGGCTTCTCCACTGAGATCACGGGCTCCGCAGGGTCTCGGCCGTGGGCACAGCGCCTCATCCTGCCCTCCGAGCTGGGCGCGTGCACGAGCCCTCCGGCCCTGGACATGGAGCCAGACCATCCGCGGCTCAGCTCTCAGCCCCGTGAACAATCACAGCCAAATCACAAAGGGAACCCAAAACTCAAAAACCAAAAGAAAAGAGACATCCATCGCCGGCCAGCCTTAGCCCCATTCCGGGCAGAGATGCCACTGAGGCTCCGGCCCCGCAGGGAGTCAGGGCATCGCCCCATTGGGCTGCCGGCTGCCGACAGGCGGCAAGATTTGCCCAGCACCGTCTCCGAGCCAAAGAGCGGCACGCGCGGCCCTGGGCTCCGGCCCCCATCTCCCCAACCCCACCTCCAGCCCGCACTCCACTCACCAGCCCTGGGAAGCTCTGCCGCCTGGGCTTTGCCCAGGCCCCGCCTCCGCACACACTGCCCTCCGGGCCCGACACACCGGCTTCTCAGGGCCCTCGACGCCAGCCCCAGCTGCATCTCCACTCCAGCCAAGCCTTGGCACTGCCGGCCTCTGCCAGCCCGCCGCCTGCCAGCCACCCTGGGGCCCCTCTCACACAGCCACTTCCCCCCTCCCTGGCTAGGGGCAACTTCCTGCTTCACTCACGTCCTGGCTCCTCTCTCAACTCTCCAAACCTCAGCTTCTTGGCTTGGCTTTCAGCACACACCCTAGCGCTCTGGGCCCGCGGCTCAAACTCACGAAGACACTGGCTTCCCCGCTAGAAGCAGCAGCTTGGAGAGAAGCAAGGGTTTCGGCTCTCAAGGTTTTCAAGGGCGCATTTCCATGTTCGCCCGCATGGAAGGCTACTCGGAGCGCTTCCCTGTGGCTCCTGACGCCGGGCACCACACCATCTTTGCCCAGCTGACGCCGGGCACCACACCATCTTTGCCCAGCACCACACCAATGTCTCTTCTCAAGGTCCTGGAACCACACAGTGGAAACCGGCTTTCCAGGGCTGCCGTGGGCTCAATCGAGCTCCTGGCAGAAGCCCTCAATTATTGCAAACAAGTCAACGAAATAGATATCAGTAAGAGGAAAGGGCTGGGTGAACTTTTGAACAACAATTAGGTGTTCTGGTGTATGGACCGAACTTCACAACCTTTGGTTACTTGACACCTTCAAGTTTTATTAAGTTCAGCTGAATGATAGAAATTTATGGAGTCTCTAGATCATTTCCAAATAAGATAAAATATTAGACAGTAGTTATTAGACAGAGGTTTATCTACTTCAGGCTTATTTTGACAGAGAAACCAAAAGATCTTTGGGTCTATTAGTAAAGATGCCTTACGTTTTTATCATAAGAGTGTCCTAGGAAGTAGTATGATTCTGGAAATTATAAATATATTTATAAATTTGTAAAGCCACAGAATGCTAATGGAAAGGACAGTTTATAATTGCTTCCTTCTTAGATTCTACTGAAAACAAGGTCTGTAAAGGCTGAGACTTCTAAGGAAGAGATGTGATTAAAGCTACTCAAAATTGAGAAGGAAGACATCTTTGTGCGCTAAGGAAAGCAGGATGAATGTTCTCAGGCAAGAAAATTTAAAGAATGGAAATGTCTTTGTTGGTTTTGGTAAGAAAGATAAATGGGTCCTAAAAAAGGAAAGCAGCCCTAGGACAAATTCTTAATGTAAAAAGAAGGTTCTAGAATGTATGAGGGAAAAAAACTCAAAGAAAAGAGTTTTGTGCGTGATCAAATTGGCTACTATGGAAACGAACTGAACGAAGTCAATGAACTTTCATATCGAAGGGAAGCTGTTGCCAAATTAGATTTTGGTTTTTGCCCTCTCTTAAAAGGATCATTTGCTTAAAGTTTTCTTCTTTTCTGGGGAAAGAGATTAGGAAAGATTTTGATGCCTTATCAAAATAAATTTCCAGTATTGTTTTGATACACGAATTGAATCACACCAAGTGGCTAAGATGTTTCACTCACCCGTTTGATTTTCTACACTTGCCTGAAAAACTTTCATGGTCACCGTGTTTCCATGCATAGCTAAGCATGGTTTCCTAGGGATCTAGGCTATGCTGTGGGTAAATGTTTCTATAAGGGTTTTAAAAATCAGATAGCATTCCTAAAATGCTGATTTATCCTGGTTAGCACTCATCACTCTAATTGTTATCTGGATGTGTTCTAGGTCATAAAAATAACCAAATTTCTTTGTCCATTGCCATTTTGAAATCCTTGTCATTTACAATTTTTCTTGGTTTTGGTAAGAAAGATAAATGGGTCCTAAAAAAGGAAAGAAGCCCTAGGACAAATTTTTCATGTCAAAAGGAGCTTCTAGAGTGATGGGGGAAGAAACTCAAAGAAAACAGTTTTGTGCATGATCCAAATGGCTGATGTTGAAAAGTAGTTGAACCAAGTCAATGAGCTTTCCTATCAAAGGGAAGCTGTTGCTAAATTAGATTTTGGTTTTTGCCCTCTCTTAAAAGGATCATTTTCTTAAACTTTTCTTCTTTTCTGGGGAAAGAGATTAGGAAAGATTTTGATGTCTTATCAAAATAAATTTCCAGTATTGTTTTGATGAGGTCTTGAATCACACCAAGTGGCTAAGATGTTTCACACACCCGTTTGATTTTCTGCACTTGCCTGAAAAACTTTCATGGTCACCGTGTTTCAATGCATAGCTAAGCATGGTTTCCTAGGGATCTAGGCTATGCTGTGGGTAAATGTTTCTAGAAGGGTTTTAAAAATTAGATAACATTCCTAAAATGCTGATTTATCCTGGTTAGCACTCATCACTCTAATTGTTATCTCAAAGTGTTCTGGGTCACAAAAATAACCAAATTTCTTTGTCCATTGCCATTTTGAAATCCTTTGTCATTTACAGACTGTTTGGTTTGACTCTGTTTCTGCAAGTCTCTTTCGTCTTCAGAGAGGGTCACGGAAAGGACTTTGAAATTGACTCTAGAAGACAGGCTTCTGACCAACTTTCAGATCATAAAGTTGAGCTGGTTGAGAAGTGCAGAACTCTAATGCAGAGACTGAAGACTTCAGGAAACCGCAAAAGAAGCTCAAGCTCCGGCAAGATGTGATCACGTGGGACTGAAGGCACTCTGCTCTCTCAAATCTGGAGAAGTCGGGCTCCTAGCCATAAATCGAATATACGAGCGGCTTAAATTTCCTACTTGGCCTTGCCCACAAGATGCTCTGCTGTGTGAGTCAGCCAGAAACCGAGCAGGGAGGGGGCAGGTGTGGGGGAACCTGCCGGCCAGAGCACAGAGGCCAGAAGCCTGACAGCTTCTGTTGATGTTGCAGCTGAGGGGAGGGGTGCTGAGCACAAGCCCACCCACCGACCCCACGCCCACCTGGGACCTCAACAAAAGCCCCACTCTCAGAGCCTCCAGCGTCCTCGCCGGGACTGAAGCAAACCGCCACACTCACTGTGCTCTCCGACAACGCCATGATTGCCTTCCTAAAACACAGAGCCACCGAATTCATGGTGGACCTTGTGGCTACCTTCCTCGTGCAGAAGGGGAAAACGTATCTCACAGAGGCATTGATCGACATGTGGTCGATATGGTTGTTCGAACAGATGGCTACGTTTCTGCTGAAGATGATTCTGATGTTGGCTCTGGGCCGCATGGCTCTGGTGGTGCACCACCTGACTCTCGCTCGAACTTTGCACCGCCAATGTGCCCTGGTTCTGCCAACGAAGAAGGCAGCCCCGAAAGCATCACTTGTCATGTGTCCCCTGAATCGGGAGCAAGCCAGC